TTTATTTGTGTACCTGTATTCTTCATGGTTAGCAGCTTCTAAGATTCCAGCCAATAAATCAGTATTTTCTCCATCATTTACGTCTTTAGACATGTCAAGCCTTCGTTGTTCAATCATTTTAAATAGAAAGTTGTCGAACTCTTTAATTAATAAAGAGAGTTCACTCAAAAATGAGAATAATACAAAGGTTGTAGATGTAACACGTTGAATAATTTGACTATATGTTTTTAAAAAATATGGTTGTTCCTCCAAACTATCCAATGCCTTTGTTTGAAAAAGTTTTTTCCCACGGTTAGTTTAAACAATAACATTATAATGAGAGTCTATTTTAGCAGATTTAAAGTCACTCAACTATCACAGCAATATTATTAATTTAGTCATGTGACCACCACTGTGTGACTTTAAATCGGGCGAAAATAGAATTCTTAATAAAATTTATAAAATTTATAATTATATATAAATTATATAAATACTCACTTTCATATCATATGCGAAAACCAATTTTCCTAATATTTGAATAGTAACACGTTGCATTAATAAAAACACATCTATTGGAGTATCCGTCCATGTATTTAACAAATTTATAAATTCATTAGCGCATTCCCCAACCATTTCAGGACGAAGTGCTCGATTGAACGCTGGTGTTGCTATTCTTCGTTGTCGTGCCCAGCGCTTTAAAATGAAAATACTCATCAAAAAGGATGGCAAATTTTTAATAATATATACTCAAAATTTAATGAAAAAAGATAACTACGTCTCCATTCGTAAATGCGATCCCTTTTCCAAAGAAAACAATTGCTGGATGTTTTTCGGGTAATTTGCCCTTTGGAAGGGTGTATGCTTAGCAAAAACGAAAATAGTAGTAATTATATAAACAAATTAACCTTTTTAAAAAGTGAACCGACAATAAAACTTTAAAGGGCAATATACCACTTTCAGAGAAGAATACTTTGGCATGTTCGGTATCAGTTATTAGAATTAACCAACCAAAACCAAAAAACATCTAAAATATAAAATATCGAAAAAATTAACTTTTTACAAATAGTGACAATGATAAATAGAATTACCGATTTACTGACTTTTACTAATCCAATTTTATTAGGATCCGATTCAAAAATTAGTTTTTGAATTTCATATTGTCCTTTACCACGCAATAACAATAACAAGAATTTAAAAATAGAAACGGTTGGAACGAAATCCAATTCATTAAGAGGCTTCAAAATTCTACGTATAAAGTAGAATAATAAAACTACCAAAACCACGGGAATCACGTAAAACCATAAATTCATTTGTAAGAGACGCTAGAATGAGAAAGAGCAAATGAATTGAATTTTTAAAAATTTAACCCGAATTTACGTAATGATTGGATTCTCTTTTTTTCGTGTTTATTTTATATATACCTAAAATAGTTACATTAATCTGCCGATTAAAGTATTATCTGTAAATGTAGATCCTTCGGGATTCCCGAACTCTTTCCTTCGGAATTTCCGAGTTTATTACAAGTAAATTCACTAGACAATGAGAATCAGTTTCCCATGATATTTCGCGTAAATTTTTTTCCATACGATCATCTATCATCTATTCATGAAGTTCAATCAAATAATATAACGATAATTGGAAAGTTCTTTTTGAAATGTCTTAACCGATTAAAGTAGAAAAATTAAAGGTGAATCAATTTACTAAAGTTGATACTGTAATGAAATATACCAATTTATTTATTAAATAATAAATGTAAATTTATTCAATGTTGTTATTGATATTAGAACGAATGATATTAAGTCGAAGTGTGAAGTCGAAGTGTGTATCAATAATTTTACCGTGTTGATACTTTGACATAGTCTCATCAAAAGTGTCACCTGTCTATGGTGTCAATCTTGCTAGTATAAAGTAATATGTACGTCCAATACTAGTGCATAATATTTAAATACATTGAAATGATCGTTTGAAGTCAATATAATTATAACACTTTCTAATGATCGTTCGAAGTGAAATTGTTCTGTCGGATTTTCGTCTGTTATGCTTTTCGGGAAATTCAAAGTTTCACAAATACATATGTAAAATGTGCAAAACAATAATAGCGTTAGTGTCATGCTGTTGCATGTCTTTACTGGTCTGATAATCGCTAATACTGTAAACAAAAAAGGGGAACATTAAAGACAGGTGCGTTTTTGATGCAGTAATGGTGAGTGGTTTATGTAAATATCAAGAAAATAATTTATGCAGCATGTAGATCATTTCCAAGTTTATACCAACCGCTACCTGGCTTTAAAAGAAGCTGATCATTTCTGAATTTATACATGGCCGAACGCCAAGGCATTGTGTAAGAGTAATCATTTCTAAATTTATATTAATGATTTACGTACCAATTATGTTTCAATAACGTGTCAAACTACGTACTGTACGTACGTACGTACGTACTAGAGTATCCTCATCTGAAACTCAGAAACCGAAACCCGAAACCCTATCCAAACCCGAACTCTCTGCCGAAACTCAAAAAACCAAAACTTAATAATTGAAAAAATTTAGGTTTTTCAATTTGAAAAATTGTCAAACGCTTAGGTGTTAATAAATCCTTGATTTACATTTTAACTAGTCGACGAATTCTTGATCATATCTAGCCTTTTCAATATTAGGACCTATTCATGTGATATGTTTATTATAAAATCTATTTGAGGTCTTTGCCTTGAAAATCACCTTCCGACATTCATGTTCATCTTTTACTTTTATTGATTCAATAGTTATTCGATAAACTATTGAATCAATAAAGTTAAAAGATGATTAACATATGAACAT